TGTAGTATTTCTGTTGACTGTAGTCAATTGTGTTACAATTGTGTCAATAATTTGCAAAAAGTATGAATTATATTTTGAAATATATAAAAAATATCTGTACTGCACAAGAAAATCCAGTTTCGGACCTAACAGTGAGTAAAACCAAGGCGTTAAAAATTAGTAAAAAATTTTAAAAAAAAGCGCCTGCCCGCCCACTTTTTGGCAAAAGCTAAGGGCGCTAACCAACTATTTTTTTTTATTTATAGAATTTTCTTTATGCCTTACACCAAAATAGTTAAAACCAAGAAGTCAGGCTTCTGTATAGTCTCTACTCTGTGCCATCTGTGGCCATATATGCTTACCGCGTGTCTCGAGTCTTCAGCAGGTCGCCGACTTTAATATGATTATCAGTAAACTTTGTCTATTTTCTCGCCAAATTGTTGTCTGAAACAGAAGATAAAACAAATAAGAGTTATATCAATCAAAGCTGGGTTATTCCCGAACATTATTTCAAGAAAATGTGGGAGAAATACGAAGGAAATGAAGCGACTAAGCGAAAACAATTTCGACAATTTGTAAGCACGTGTTTCAAAACACGGCTAGAACTTGACAAGAACAGCTCAAACACGTTTAAAAGATAGCTAAATTTAATACTAACCTCTCCCTTTGCATGGTAGAACTATTTTATTTCGAAAAAGTTTCATAAAATCCTCGATATTAATTAAAACTTCGTAAGGTAGTTTTTACAAAATTACCTGGCGACCATGTTCTTAGCCAAGAAGCAGAATCTGTATTAAAACCACAAGAGGCCCAGGCTCGATTTGCCCGCGCCCGCCCACGTTATAAGGAAGGCACAGGCGGGCGCGGGCAAATCGAGCCTGGGCCCCTGTGCTAAAACCAGTGACTAAAACCACTATAAATTCTGTTTTGTGATTGGCGCGGTTTAATCAAAGAATCTCCCCGTTGAACCAGAGCCTTCGCGACGTTTCAATCTATTATTGGCCGTTTTTATACTAGAGACGCATAATTATGCGTCTGGGCGCATAATCCGTCTTCTACATTATTCGTCTAGTATAAAGACGGGACGAATAATACTAGACGAATAATGTAGAAGACGGATTATGCGTCCAGACGCATAATGCGTCTCTAGTATAAAAACGGACAATGCGACGAACTATCAACATTTATTGTTCGCCTGGTTATGCGTCCTCACTATAAAGACGGGCACAAGACGCATTATGCGTCTAGACGAACTATCATCGGTTGTACGAAGAATCGAACATAGTTCGTCTAGACGAATAATGCGTCTTGTGCCCGTCTTTATACTAAGGACGCATAACCAGACGAACAACAAATGCTTGCCCAAGTTCGTCCAGACGCATAATGCGTCTCTAGTATAAAAACGGCCATTTACTGTCGAAGGCTCTGGAATCCAGGGTAGAGGAGGGTCTAAAATTTTGAACTTTGAAGGTTCTCACCCCAGGGTGTACGGATTAAAAAATAAAATAATGGCTTATTGCATTTTTAAACGACACACCCCTATGGAGGACACCAGAATTTCCAGACCCCCCTTCCTAAAATTCAACAAAAAAATAAGGAATTTCCAAGGCAGGGTAAATTTTAAAGAAAATCTGTGGGAATTCCAAAGGGTAGGTTAAAAAAACATGGAAATTCCAAGGGATGGTTACGTATTAAACAAAAAATGTGGAAATTCCAGAGACTAGGTCAAAAACCATCGGTGGAATTTCCAAGGGATGAGTAGAAATTCATTAAAAATCTGTGGAAATTCCTTGGAGTAGGCTGGAAATTTGTAAAAAATCTGCGGAATTCCATAGGGTAGGCAAGGAATTTCATCAACATCTGCGGAATTCCAAGGGAGGGGGTTAAAAAATGGATGTCCTCCATAGGGGGGGTGATTAAAAATGCAATAAGCCAATGCAATGTGCCAATGTGAATGTAAATCTTGCCACCTACCTTCGTCCTCGTGAATAGTAAATACGATGTTTTATCTTTGGAATAACGCCCAGTATCGTCACTTTTCTTTCCAATCACATATTGTTTGGGATATTAATGACAACATTTTTCAAACCAAACTACTTTTCTATCATTCTGTACGCCATCTTGTTGTCATGCGTTTGTCTCGCGTGGTCTGCGCGCAGTCGCAAATAATGTTCAACTCCGCGGGGTACTTGGAGTGCGGTCCAACATCCATTAGGGAGTTTACTCATGTTAAGACGGATTCCCAATGTCGCACGATCAGCTTTTTGCGATCACTTTCTTTTGAAATGTGTTCAGTCAGTCACATCCATAGCGTTTGATTGCTTGCATTTCAAAAGAAAGTGATCGCAAAATGTCGAAATCCGCCTAAAGACGGCAACGTCAAGATGACGGCTATCAAAACAATGTCATTAATCCTATAGCACAAAAGAAATAAATAATTAAAAATATAGCTGGAGTTTCAGACGTCGTCTGTTTTCCTCGTTCGAAACTGTATTAAACTCATACGAAAGTAAATACACGACAATATATCCATACAATCATTTATTTCAAACAGTTTGTTTAGCCGCGGTCCTGACGTCGCCGTCTTAAAGGCCCATGCATATGGACCGAACGCGATTCGAGAACGGGACGCAATTTTTCAGTTTTTAAAAACAAATAAAACTGTCAACGAATAAAAATTTTACAAGATATCCAGGCCAAATAGCTAAAAATATTGCTAAAGTGGTTCTGAATATATGCAAAACAAAAAAATAGTAAAGTTAAATGCCAGTCGCATTGCCCAATCACGTCCGGCCCGTATGGGCCATGCGTCTTGGCTAAACCTCTCAAATGTCAAAAGGAAGGAACGCCGACTCGCATATTGATGACATAAGGCGACAAAGTGACGGTTAGTCGGGCAAACTGCCGCTGACAGGAATGTTTCTTTTGCACGGCCATCGAGGAGATTGAAGCCGAAGTACCAAGCAACGTCAGAACGATAAAGATAGAATTCTATAGAAACCACATAGGCGAAAAGCTGGTCACCAGTAAAAATTCGATGCCAGTTGGGCTCGCTTCTTCTCAGCGTTCTTGTTAAACACTGCTGTCGGGCATACTGCCAGTGACGGTTAGTCGGGCAAATATTCTGTGACAGGAAGGTTTATTTTGCACGGCCATCGAGGAGATTGAAGCCGAAGTACCAAGCAACGTCAGAACGATAAAGGTAGAATCCTATATAAACCACATAAGCGAAAAGCTGGTCACAAGTAAAAATTCAATGCCAGTTGGGCTCGCTTCTTCTCAGCGTTGGTGTTAAACACTGCTGTCGGGCATACTGCCAGTGACGGTTAGTCAGGCATACTGCCAGTGACGGTTAGTCGGGCATACTGCCAGTGACAGGAAGGTTTATTTTGCACGCCCATCGAGGAGATTGAAGCTGAAGTACCAAGCAACGTCCAAACGATAAAGGTAGAATCCTATATAAACCACATAAGCGAAAAGCTGGTCACAAGTGAAAATTCGATACCAGTTGGGCTCGCTTCTTCTCAGCGTTCGTGTTAAACATTGCTGTCGGGCATACTGCCAGTGACGGTTAGTCGGGCATACTGCCAGTGACGGTTAGTCAGGCATACTGCTAGTGACGGTTAGTCGGGCATACTGCCAGTGACGGTTAGTCGGGCATACTGCCAGTGACGGTTAGTCGGGCATACTGCCAGTGACGGTTAGTCGGGCATACTGCCAGTGACGGTTAGTCAGGCATACTGCTAGTGACGGTTAGTCGGGCATACTGCCAGTGACGGTTAGTCGGGCATACTGCCAGTGACGGTTAGTCGGGCATACTGCCAGTGACAGGTAGGTTTATTTTGCACGCCCATGGAGGAGATTGAAGCCGAAGTACCAAGCAACGTCAGAACGATAAAGGTAGAATCCTATATAAACCACATAAGCGAAAAGCTGGCCACAAGTGAAAATTCAATGCCATTGGGCTCGCTTCTTCTCAGCTTTCGTGTTAAACACTGCTGTCAGGCATACTGGCAGTGACGGTTAGTCGGGCATACTGCCGGTGACAGGAAGGTTTATTTTGCACGGCCATCGAGGAGATTGAAGCCGAAGTATCAAGCAACGTCAGAACGATAAAGGTAGAATCCTATATAAACCACATAAGCGAAAAGCTGGCCACAAGTGAAAATTCAATGCCATTGGGCTCGCTTCTTCTCAGCTTTCGTGTTAAGCACTGCTGTCAGGCATACTGCCAGTGACGGTTGGTCGGGCATACTGCCGGTGACAGTAAGTGGTTTATTTTGCACGGCCATTGAGGAGATTGAAGCCGAAGGGCCATGCCAACGTGAGAAGGACAATGGTATAGAACCTCAGAAAAAGCCGCATAGGTAAAAAGCTGGTCACAAGTGGAAATTCAATTAAATGTGAGCGGTGGTGTTCATGCTAAACCTGCTGTCGGCATACTGCCAGTGACAGTAAGTTGTTTATTTGGAACAAACATCGAGGAGATTGAAGCCGAAGTGCCGAGTCAACGTCAGAACAGCAATTGATTTTCATGCCTTATCTTCCAAGATAGGTGCACAAATTTTTGATGGAATAATATCTCCTTATTCTATGGTTGTGAAGTATGGGAAGTATACAGTTCACCAAAAATTCTGTAAGTTATATTTGGGTGTAAACAGAAAACCCAGCAACACTGGTAGGTAAATTTCCTCTTTTGACACCAATCATGGAAACCAACTTCCAAACACATCAGTTGCAAAACAATCGCTTTCGCTTTCAAACGAATTTCACATTAATGGCAAAGAATCTTTCAACTCGAATGTAATGAATATATTGAAACCATATTCCACTACAGCCAACAAAACAGTCGATTTAGAAACATATCAAGGATACCAAAGTAGGAGATATATGAAAGATACAGTTGATTTAGAAACATATATCAAGAATACCAAAGTAGAAGATTTGAATATATGACATCTTTAGAAGATGTTGAATGTATGACATCTTTAGATCAGTATTTCAAATTGAACACAAATGCATTTAAAAAGTAACACTTATTTTATTACGATAGAATTTAACAAAATGTGATTAGCATGCATTACTGTACCATTATTCTGTTCAAGGCAATTTACTAGTTTTATAAATTCAGAGCAAGCTAACATAGTTTGTTCATGCATAGTTTTTCATGAAATGAAAAACCATTGCAGTATAAACTGATATATTCATTGCAATCGACTTTCAACATCAGAGCTAAGCACCGAAAATCACAATAAGATGTAGCATATTGAGGTGAAAGATACCTCAACGTTTTTTTGTAAGCATGCAAGCATCTGATTAGAAAATCAAACTTGTATGAAAATGTACCACTAACGACAGCTTACCCAGAGACTTCCCGGAAACATGCAAACTACAGTCATGGGTAGGAATCTTGTACCACTATACTGCCTGATAGCAGGCCAACTACTGCCTGGTAGCAGGCCAACAATGAAACTATGTACTTCGAAGCAGACCTCGCTTTAACCGTTGTGCAGCTCCAATATCGAGATACGTCGACGTTTGTGGGTAACCGTTGATATAGAGGTACATCTGTCCGCAAATGTTCATGGTAATAAATATCCATAAATATCTCTTTTTTGGGTACTTTCGTAAAAATGAAAACGTTGCATTCACATTTGTTGGAAGCTTTACGAACATTTTGAAACAGTCATTTGAGATCATTATACTGTAGCATAATTTGATAAACTATAATTTAAACATGGTATAAAATTTACTTACGGATAGTAGAATTGTATAATTGATAATTGCATTACTTTGTTATTTGTTTTTCTCAGTAGGACTCTTGTAACAGTAATAGTGCAGGATCTCTCCACTTGGATAGCATGCAAAAGCACTAGAAAACAAAAAATAACCTTGTAATTTCTGATTAAAATACATGAGCCATCTCTCTGGCGAAATGTACAAAAGCAACCATTGCAAGTTGAAATCACCAATGATTAACTACCAACATACAAATCTGCATTACGGAAAAGTTTGAAAACTTTCCCCAAATGGTCCCACATTTGGTCCTGTGGTCCCCCCTTTGGTTTCGCGGTCAATTCTCAACAAAAGGAGGACCACAGTAATTAAAAAAATAATAAAACATGGCTCAACTTACTTGAAACTTTCTGAAAATTGTCGAAAAACATTTCTTTGATCAAAACAATTACTTTCGACTGATGAAAACATGTTTTGAGAAATTTGAAAATATGTAAACACGTCGACAGGAAAATGGTATTAGGGCATCAGGTACTGCAGGTCTGTGAATGTGAAAATTATGTAATTTAATACCTGGTCCCAATCTTCTTGTGGCAAACTCGACAAGCTCGTTCATCTGTGATAAGAACCTTCCCTGCTTGATAGTGCATTCTTCGTTCTTGAATCTATAATTATGCAAATAAAAAGATTATGATAAATTGTATACCATTTATAGACGAAATGGGTGATTCTAGGCTGAGATTTCAGCCGTTGGGTGGACCAAAGGCTGGAATCTGAGCCTAGGGTGATTCCAGCTGCAGTATGGACGGAATTTTGATCTAGACCAGAACGATATCCAACACCACACACAGAAACAGCATCTTAAAATGAGTAAAACTGCAAAGTTTGTTTGCGAAATGTTGTAAAATGAGGAAAATAGAGCTCTGTGAAGTTCGCAAATTTTACGAGCGGGAAAAATTACCATTTTTGAGCAAAAGTGGTTATTTTTACCGCGCGTAATACTTAACAAATATAAAACATTTTCCGTGTTGATATACAGTTATATCAACACGAGTGGAAATTGGGAAAACGAGAAGTTGTGTGGAAACACGACGCCCGAAGGGCGGAGTGTTTTCACACAATTTCGAGTTTTCCCAACTTCCACGAGTGTTGATATAACTATATATGAATACGGAAAAATGTTTTATATTTGTTTTATAATATAGCAATGTCAAAAGCCCGAAGAATAAGAAAAATTTCCGTGTTTACAAGCGGCGGAAAATTTCCCGTGTTGACATGGAGTTATATCAACACGGCTCTTAGCCAATCAGCGTTCAGAATTTACAAATGCTATATTATACAAATAAATACAAAATTTGCGAACTTCACAGGGCTATATTTTCTTCATTTTACAACATTTCGCAAGCAAACTTTGCAATTTTACTCATTTTAAGATGCTCTTTCTAGCTGTGGTGTTGGATTTCGTTCTTCTTGCCGAGATCAAAATTTCGTCCACAGCTGGAGTCACCCATTGATACAGTGTTATCCTGGGTGTACATGTAAATCAAACAATAGCCAGTGAGAGGTAATTGTAAGTTCTAGTGGAAATCAAAGCTGTACATTTTAACAATAACCTGAACCATGTGTGAAAAATATTCAGTGGGTGTATAATTGCCTAGATTATCAGTTTCCCCCTATTAAGGCCACATAAAATAAATTCCTTGATTCTCATCACTACACTTTGAAAATGTCGAAGAGCCGGGAGGTTTATATTTTATATTTTATATTTATATAATTTATCATCAATAAATAAAAAATAATTCCTAACATTTAATATTTCTGTGATTTCCAAAGTAAAGTATCACAAACCGAAATAAACATATTTCTCCACGAACAATGACTGAACCCTTCAACTGAATGCGAAGTTCCGTTAAAATGCAATGAAATTTCTTTCAAGGCAGTTTAAAATGGCAATAAAAACCCAATTTTAAATATAAAAAACTTAACTGTCTTGAAATTTTTTGTCCGGCGGTACATTTATATTGTATAACAAAATATAAAAAAATTTCACGCGGCTCTTAAAATACAGTCGGGCGGTGATGAGAATAAAGGAATTTATTTTATGTGGCCTAAATTTGTTAATGAAAAGTTATCAAGGCCAATGCAAAAATTCTGGTGAGTATGAGGCTATAAAGTTATACAGCAATGTTTCATGCTATTACCTGAAGATGCTCGGCAAATAAAAGACTTTTCAAAACTTGATTTGTTTTCTTTTTGCAAGATTTTTCTTCTAAAATACTTTCCAAGAAAGGAACAATTTCTTGAATCTCAATTGTCGTTGGAAGAAGTTCTAAAGCCTGTATAAAAATACACAAATCTTTGTTTACACCTGTATTTCACTAGTGATTTTCTCTTTTGAGACTTGACAGAGCAAAAGCAATTTTTTTTATATATTTCATGTGTCTCACTCAATTAGACATTCCGAAGTTGATGAGTGGACTGGGGACGAGTGTTAAAAAGTGCCCAAATTAAGAAATGAACCAAATCACTAAAAAGACCACCTCAAAATTAGTAAGTATACAAAGTTTGAAGACGTTTACATGAATACCCTTCGAATAATAAGCTTTCCAAAATTGTGAAATTACTGATTAAAAGATTGTTTTTGGGACGCGCATCCCAAAAACAAAAATTGCAATACATTTCATAGTAAATATCGGATTTTCGAAAGCTTATTAATCCAAGGGTATTCATGTAAACGTCTTCAAACGTTGTATACTTACTAATTTTGAGGTGGTCTTTTTAGTGATTTGGTTCATTTCTTAATTTGGGCACGTTTTAACACTCGTCCCCAGTCCACTCATCAACTTCGGAATGGCTAATTGATTGCAGAATATGGCCCTTACAGGATCTCCAGGGAGAACAGTCTAGAACTGATAGAGCTATCCAGGAGCACCCAAATGCACTGCCTGACTTTAATATCTTATTCAGATGATTTTACTCATTAAGAGAAGGTCTTATGTATTAATGGGTTAACCACCAATCTGCCAATGTGTCAAGTTAAGACATTAAGCTGCAATGCGCCTAAGTTTATTATTTACTCTGTCTAACACCAGACAATTTTGCTCGTCAAGGAGAGAGCCTTGTGCAGCAAATGGGTTACCCTTTAAGTTTGAATGCTCCCTGAGGCACCTACACTTTATTATTTTACACCAGACAATTTTACTTCATGGTCGAAGGGAGATTGCTGCCGTTCAATTTGCCTTTCTCACGCCGCCATTTTTGGGTGGCTTTTCAGCCGACGTCTGCGAGATAAGTCCACATAACAGCTACTTTTTATAATTTTTGGACGAATGATGCTAAATTTGCTTTGTAAATGGTTAGTTTATTTTGAAAAATTGCTTTTCACACTGATTTTAATTGTCTGCATTGGTTAACGAGAATTAGATGCCACCCAAAAATGGCGGATATTCGTCATGAGAAAGGCCAATTGATTAAACAGAATATCTGCCCATGCATAACATCCTATTAACCTAAGTGGGAACGCACTCTGATGCACCCTATAGTACTTTATTATTTTGCCTATAAACGCCAGGGAAAGTGCGGCACTCAATTGGTAAATACAAACCCATAACAAAAAGAACAGCCTTGTACCTTGGACAGCGGTACAAGAAAACTAGGACAGCCTTGAAAAATAGGACAGCCTTGTACCTTAGCTGGATTAATTTTATCATAATGCTCCCGTAGCACACTCAGAGCTGCTACCACATTTGGCTTTAGTTGCAAGTCTGTGGTCTTGGCTCCTAAAATGGATGCCTCAGGAGGCGATAGATACATGTGCAGCAAACATGCATATACCTAGAGAAATATAGATATGACACTGAATTACTGAATCTGGTAATAAGAAACCAACTTTTTCACATAGAAATTTACTTATGATGATACGTACAGGACGGTATGGTACGGTACACAGTACTTGTGAATTTCTCAAAACGTTCAGGGTAGATATATCCCTACCAATCTACACACAACACTACCTACACCGACTGTATAAGTTTGTAAGACCCTGTACAATTCTTTCAAGCTAGGACAATAATCCATTTCACAACGTGGGGGAAGGGGACAGTTGAGGCATGTGCCCCCTTAAATTTTGCAGCATTTTCACAAGAAGTATCTAGACCAAAATTTATACCAGTCTTTGTTCAATTGAACAGAGCTATTGTGGGATAGGGCATTTTCTGAGGTCTGTGGAGAAGATACAGATATTTTCTGGAATATGACCCAATGTGCCCAAATGTGTCCGAATAACTAAATTTATTTTATTCTGTCTAACGCCAGAAAACTTTACTTGTCAAGGAAATACTCTTGCACACTAGTTATGAAATACTGTACATACATCTTTACTGTCCTTCCATTCGTCATTATACGTCCTTTTACAATATCTGCAAAAGATCAAACATTTAAAACATTTAAAGGAAAATTACCAATGATAAAGGATAATGATAAGGGATAATGAAAAAGGATAATGAAAAGGGATAATGAAAAGGAATAATGAAAAAGGGAATATGAAAAGGAAAAATGATAAAAGATAATGAAAAGGGATAATGAAAAAGGAATAATGAAAAAGGAATAATGAAAAAGGAATAATGAAAAAGGGTAATGAAAAAGGAAAAATTATAAAGGATAATGATAAAGGATAATGAAAAGGGATAATGAAAAGGGATAATGAAAAGGGATAATGAAAAGGAATAATGAAAAGGAATAATGAAAAGGAAAAATGATAAGGGATAATGAAAAGGGATAATGAAAAGGTTTAAGTGTTCCACGGGGTATGGTATTTCAGATAATGAAAAGGGATAATGAAAAAGGATAATGAAAAGGGATAATGAAAAAGGGATAATGAAAAGGTTTAAGTGTTCCACGGGGTATGGTATTTCAGTAAGAGTTACGAGAAGCAGATAGTGGTCAACTGCTTTGGTAATTGCTGATTGACCAGCACAGCAATGTTTAGTAAACACACCAATTTCGAAGTGCATCTATCAATGGGCAAACTGGGCAACAATATTGCATATTTTACCTCACCAAAGATAAAAAAAACACTTACAATGAAGCCATATCAATATCATTCAAAACATGGATATAGATTGCCAATGCTTCCTCATGCCGACCCAGTCTTCCCAACAATAATGCACGTTCTTCAAAAAAACCTTAAGACAGTGTAAAAATTTAGTTGAGTGACAATAAAGTAAAAAGTAAAGTACCGAACGTGTCGAATAAGTCAAATATATTACCGAATAAAACTTCACTTACTATCAGGAAAATGAGTGAGTAAATTCTGTGGTTGATAACATCTCGAATCGCGTAGCAATGTCAACAAAGTACTTCGTAATTCTCCCAGTTCCCCAGGCTCTTTACCAGCACGTGGTAATGACTCACCTGAAAACAATGTATATTAATCCAGTGACTGCCACCAGAACTCTCCCCTTGACGAGTAAAATCGTCTGGTATCAGACAGAGAAAGGACGCATTAAAGGGTTAAACTAAAGGTTGGGGAGGGTAATCGTCTTTTGTTGCAGCTGATTGCTGAATTGCCAAGGATGCAATTCAAACATGCCCAGGTCCACAATATGAGCACGTCTGATGAAGGATCAGGACTAACGGAGAAGGGTTACTTTTTGGTAGGTAAACCCTAGTACCCAAACAAACCCTCAAAGCAGAGAAGAAAACCAACCACAACTCTGTATCTACATGATATGCACATCAAGTCAAAGCAGTGTAGTCAACTATACCCTAGCCTTGACCTACAGTATATTAATTAGCAGGCACACTGTAGGGGCAGTGCACTAATTGTATTTGCACCTGTGTGGGACCCCGTGCTTCCTTGCTGCTGAACCAACAAATGAAATTGGGGTCTTACACTGGGAAATATTATACGACCTCCACAACACTTACCCTCAAGTAATTCATCTTTATATGACTCCATTAGTTCAGAAATTCGTTCACGGTAACAGTCAACAAGTTTATTGTGTAGTTCTGGTGTTTGCTCGTTGAAAACATGGATTACATGCTCCTGAAGAAATAAGGTATAAGGTTTGAAAATGAAATGTAGAAGGACACAGAAGATGGGGGAGATTATTGAAATGGATCCTGGGGTTTCTTTGAAGCAAAAGATAAAATATATTATTAAAGAATATGTAGATCGTGAACAGTTATAGTAAGTTCAGTCATATAAAAGAAAATGGCGGCCAGTAGAATTGACCTTGAATGGATTCTGGGTAATGAAAGAGTAGAAAATATATCTTACTAAATAAGGTATTTGTAACTGTGGCGCATTTTGTTTAATATGCGATAGTACTTGATCTCGAGGTAAACCTTCCACTTCCGGTATATCTTCTGTGAATATCTGTGAAGAGAACAAACATTGCAGTAAGGATTGTAGCAAGACGTGTTGTAGCCTGTGTTCCAATGTAATGGAACAACAGTGTAGTGGCCTTGAACACTGGCTAGGCATGTTGTGATTCCTTTGTGTTTAAATACAAGATTGGAAAAAGCATTGATGTCTTGATTATAAAACATACTTTCAGACCATATTCAGGTCGACTCTTTAGCACCCAGCCTGAATAGTCAAAGATGAATCGTAAATTTTCTTTCCCTAATGACCAGAAAACAAAATATTAGGAATGCATCTTAATACAAGACATAAATATACCAATGTGTATATTCATAATATGCAGACTAAAATTAATATACCTAAACGTTGTAAGTACTCAACAGTCTTGGAAGGTCCTTGCCACGCGCCAGGTTTTTGTGCTTTTCGTAAAAGAAGATCTAGGGCTACGGAAAAAGAATTACAATGTTTTAGGAACCATGTTTAGGGCAATAAGAATTGTTTGCAAGCAGTCATAAGCGATTAGTGGCACATTGGTTAGTGCAGCATGCCTTGATTTTCCAAGATGAATGCCTACAATTTGATTTTACCAAACATTGCATGTTTTTCTTAAGATACTCTGGTTTCCCTCTGTGTGCCACTGAACCAACAAGGAATGGTCCTTACTGGACCACCACGAAGAACAGTTTATACAACAATACAGAACAGATTATATTGCATTGATATCGATGGAACTAGACTCAGTTCGGAAATATTGCATACTCAAACCGACCTGACCGCGTAGCTCAGTTGGCAGAGCATTGGGCTGGTATTCCAGAGGTCGTAGGTTCGATTCCCACCGTGGCCAGGCATATTTTTCAAGTTTGCCCGGTGTGGATAGACACTCAGGGTAACATCACAAACATAATATACAGAACAGTTTATACAACAATAAGAACAGTTTATACAACAACTGATATTCAATGTAAGTAAAGTTCAGTCTAGATAGTCGTAATACAACAAACCAACTAACCTTTCTTATGATTTCCTTTGGTTTGATAAAATGTTACAAGTTCTTCAATCTTCTTGTGTTTATAAAGTTCCTTCTCACTTTCTATTGGGTGACAGTAGTTCTCGAGCCTTAGGAATGGGGCAACTAGAGCATCATTTGTCTAAACGCAAAGCATTACAATTTAACTACTAACACAGCAAAGGTCATCAGCTATTAGTATCCACTTTTTGATATATATCGTTTCTTTGGGTACTTATAATGTAGAAAAATGAAAAAATTTCTCGAACTCAAATTTTGTGAACCAGGGGGGCGTGTCTTTTCCAACAAACTAAAAATGGCTTGCGCACGAAATTTAAAAGCTTTAATCATATTTTGAGTTAATAGATGGAAAATTAGTTGGGTTTTTAATTACTGTACAGAATTTCAGACAATTTGCTTTAGTTTAAGCCCTTTAACTATTCATTTTTGTCTAAAAAATCAGCCTTTCGCATGCTTAATTAATGCCTTTACCTAATTTGCATATTTCTGACATATGCAAATTAGGCAAAAGCATTAATTAAGCATGCAAATAGCAGATTTTTTAGAAAAAAATGTAAGTTTGCGTGAATAGTTATAGGGCTTAAACTACAGCAAATTGTCTGAAATTTTGTACAGTAATTAAAAACCCAACACATTTTCCATTTATTGACTCAAAATATGATTAAACGTGGAAAAGACACGCCCCCCCCCCCTGGTTCACAAATTTTGAGTTTGAGAATATTTTTTAATTATTCTACATTATAAGTACCCAAAGAAACTAGTATATACATCAAAAACTGGATACTAATAGCTGTTTTGCGAAATTGAGAGCAAATTCACATCTGTTCGGGTTTTTTTTATACACCCTGTATAAATTACATTAACGCACCAACCTGTAAATAACACTTGAGTAACGTTGTGTCAATTATTTGTCGTAATGTCTTCCTCGTTTTAATTTCACCTGAAAGACATGAATTGAGTATTTATTTTATTTAATGTTCAATAATTATTTGTGAATTCTAGAATTTATCTTGACATACTTTCAGGTAGTTCCTCTCCATCGGTTTCATCCACCTTCTTTGCTAATCTGTTGCGTTGCTACAGAATAATAATGTCAAGCACTTATGAAGCAAAACCTAAACTAAACTGCAAAAACTATAGGCCCTCTGGCAGGTATCAAACATGTGGCCATGTGATTCTGGTGCACAGGGCCTTTTTTAACATACAAGCTGGGGGGGGGCATTTGCCCCCCCAGTCCCCCCCCACGAAATCACATTTTGCCCCCCCAGGAAAAGTCCCTTTTCCCTAGATTAACAAATACATAAACGGAAAGCACGTTTTAGGCTTTATCCTTTGTCCTTGTTTAACAAAATCGATTTAAATTGTTACTTTTTTCTACCACTAAGTAATGATAAATTATTGTTAATAATTTTTTTATTTTTTGGATGCTCAGAATGCAGGAAATGGCATTTCCGTGCTTCAAATTTCAAAACTTTTCTGGAGGAGTACACCCCCACACACCTGACCATTGCTATCCTCCTCTAATAAGTAATGATAAATGATGGTTATTTTTTTAAACTTTTTGTGCGTTTTTTCCTTTATTTATTTCAAATACAAGTATAGTTAGCATAAATTTTGGAGCAAATTTGGATGCTCAGAATGCAGGAAATGACATTTCCAGGATTCAAATTTCAAAAATTTTCTGGGCGAGTACTCCCTCAGACCCCCCCCCCATTCGTGCGTGGTATGTTGGCCACACATGTGGCCTTCAGCCATTGCTATCCCCCTCTAATATATTATCTCACAGAAAGGTCCCTTTTCAAAAAAATGCCCCCCCCCCCCACAGGAAAATCCTTAAAAAAGGCCCTGCTGGTGCAACACTCTCACCAACTGAACTACAGAGTCCAGTTGTCTAGCTCTACATAAATGCAAAAGTTTATGTATACATCACTAATACATGTATATACTAAGGGGCGGACCAAAATAAAAATCGCGCATGGGAAACAAAAAGAAAAAAAAATTGTGCACCAAACAAGTTTGAAAAAAAAATTCGTGCAGAGACTTTTCAGTAGGGAAAATAATAAGTTGAAATAAAAAACAATTCGTGCAAGGGATTATATTTAAAACAATTATCGACACAAGAAAAAAATTTTAAAAAATATTCGTACAAGTTAGAAAAAGTCCCCCCCGACCCCCATCACTTTTCTAATGGTCCACGCCTAAGACAATGGCACGGTAAGGCATATATTGGGTAAATATCAATATTTCTTGGGCATCTCACACGATTGAACTGATGTTGTTCAATACAAATAACCCAAGTACATACATGTATATACTAAGGGGCGGACCAAAATAAAAATCGCGCATGGGAAACAAAAAGAAAAAAAATGTGCACCAAACAAGTTTGAAAAAAAAAATTCGTGCAGAGACTTTTCAATAGGGAAAATTATAAGTTGAAATAAAAAACAATTCGTGCAAGGGATTATATTTTTAAAAAATTATCGACACAAGCAAAAAATTTTAAAAAATATTCGTACAAGTCAGAAATAGTCCCCCCCCCCCACATCACTTTTCTAATGGTCCACGCCTAAGACAATGGCTCGGTAAGGCATATATTGGATAAATATCAATATTTCTTGGGCATCTCACTCGATTGAACTGATGTTGTTCAAAACAAATAACCGAGGTACATAATCTGTTCTTCTAACCTTGAGCAGGTACTGGGTAAGGGCAAGATATCCTTTTTCCATCTCGCTTCCTGTCAACGTAGGTGGGGGTGCAGGATACTCCAGGCGTTTTCTGAAATCTCCAGGTAACAGGTCATGAAATAATCCTATCACTTCAGGAGGATCTGGGAAAGAAAACAGAAAATATTCTGTAAACTAAATGAGACAGCTGGGGATAGAGAGAGATACCTGAGTACAACTGCTTGAAAAATATCTCTCCCAATCCATAACTGTCTTGTTATTGTCACTAGGGAGTTTAAGAGTCTACTCTCCAACCTGCAATGTTAAGTAGTCAGTTTCTGTGCTATGTTCTTGATTCTGTTTTACAACACAAGAATGTTATTTTTACACTGTATCCAAGGTTGCTACGGTGAAAAGTATGCTCTGGGGATACAAGAGACACTTAGCTAGGATTTTAGATCTTGGGCGTGTTTCTAATGACCAGGGCATGCACATGTCAATTACCTCAAATAGCAAAATCGCCAACAATAATGCTTGTGGTTGTTATATGCTTTGCAACCAAATACAAGGCGAGCATACACTCATATTGCGCACCGACATTAAAATATTAAGTTATTTCAGCAACTATTGGGGGTATTTAAAACCATTTTAACACCATACAGTTCCCATTATCCATCGGAATATTAAAACATCACGAATCACTTTTGCCAATTCAACAACAACAGTAGATTTTACAAACTTTCTTGCGACGTAAATAGGAAGAAATTCTGTCTGTTGTAAGTAGCACCACCTTATTTTATGAACCTACACTGCCTTATATAAATAGTTTTTCCACTTTTGGCCGCGATAGCACGGCCAACACGGCCCTCTAGCTAAGACCCTGTGGGATATGTAACTTTTGTCTGCCTCAGTTAAAGTAATGCGAAAACAAACATTCAACCGTGTTCCGTACCCGTTGTTCGTTGTCGGCATCTTAAACTCCCTATTACCTACACTGGCACACACACTGTTCAAAATTATGAATTAACCCATTGAGTGGCAGCACTCTCCACTTGATGAGTAAAATCATCTGGCGTTAGACAGAGTAAAATACTACAGTAGGGTGCATTGCCACTTAAAGGGTTAAGAGGATGCATGGGAAGTTTTATTGACCATGTACTGTACAATGACATGTGGCTAACGGCCCTATATACAGTACAGGGTTGATATAAACTCCCCATTCGGCATTCGTACATTCCAACCCAGGACACTAAACTGATTTCCTACAGTACTATACCTGTTTCTAATTCTGCAAATACTTTGAAAGATTCTTGAAAACGTTTTTGGCAAAATAATTCAAAAGCATACTGATACTGGATACTCTGTATTCGTTTAGTTTTCTCTGAATCACTTTCCTGCATCTTGTTCTAAAGAAAAACAAATATTACTTTTTCCCTTTGCTTGACAGCACTATTAGTTCTACATGTTCCCCACTACCGGTACTGTACATGAGGAATTGTGAAAATTAACTTATCGACACTGGATAGCACTATCAGTTCTAGTTGTTCTTCCTTAAGGTCTGATTAAACCAATGAGTGGCAGCGCTCTTTCCTTCAGAAGTAAAATTGACAGGCATTCAAACAAAGTAAAATAATATAGAAGTAGGGTGCATAATTAGGGTGCAATATATCCTTTTGATAATTACATCACATACCTCATCTTGGCCTGGGAGCCTCATTCTCATGTTTCAAGATGAACAATGATTGGCTCACAATTCATGAGAGCGAGGCTCCCAAGCCAAAACAAGATATGTGCCGTAATTATTGATATAATCAGATTAATTGATTAAGTTAATCAATACAATATACTCACAGCCAAGAGAAGAGCAAGTTCAAACTGTTTCTCTTGAAGTAGTTGTGAGATCTGCATTGGAATAGGCACAGGTACCAGACGCCATACATGACTTGAAGATGCAACATAGATATGTGTCCCATGTGATATAAGACGAGGCTTGGATAACTCGATGCTTTGTACCAATGCTCGAGGATCCACTGTTCTGATTTCTACATATTTTGGTAGAATACCAATCATATAAGGATCGTAAAAATCTAGAAAAGTACACATGATGAATTATGTAACAGAATCTGCTATTACGCAGGGCATAAGGGGAATCCCAATTCGATAAAAATTTTAAGCTTTTCCAAAAAGTGTCTGATCAATGTTGTTTGTTTGGCTCCACTGTTTTAGCCATATCATTGTCGTCTTGCCATCCTACATGCTTAATTACAGTCCCCTATTGTTCTCTACTTCTCCATACTTACCTACAGCTAGGGGAACATCAGTCCAAACAGGTGCTTTCCGTTTAGCTGGTTTTCCTTCAGAATCTATAAACACGGTGACTTCATCTCGACCCAGAATTAAACTGCCGTCTTTTAAAACTGAAATACTTGGTTCCATATTCTTGCCAGTTCCAAATAGATCTTTGAGCTGACCTGTTGTGGTCTAAAACAACAGGTATAAAAATGTAATTTTCTTTATGCTGGATTACTCTTACTAAAAGTTCAAAAGAATGCACAAAGATAAAAAAAAACAAGTCTGGAATATAACAAAAGAATAAAAGTACAACAATAGCATTACACTAACCTTTATTAAATAGTAATCTCTTTTAAATCCAACACATAAACTATCTCCAGCCCATGCCAGGGTTTTGGCGACATCCGGAATCCCTAACTCTTCTCCCATATCTTGAAACTGGTTATTTCTCCAAACAAATAGCTTGAACAAATAATCACTGAATTACTTTTTTATTCTCTAGTTAATTCTGTTCTGTCCTGTCCTGCCCTACCCTGTGTTGCCTGTTCTAATAAGTTCAATACTATATTCTGTTCTGTTCTGTTCTGTTCTAGTGTTCCATTTCGTTCGGTCTTGCCATGCCCTGTCCTGCATGTTTTGAACAATCCGATTCTGTTGTATTATTTTCCACTCTGTTCTCTTCCTTTCTGTTCTATTCCATTTTGTTCCATTCTATATTCTATTCCATTTTTGCAGTTACTTACCATTAATCTTTTACGAACAGAGACACACATGCGCAGAGTGAATGTTGGTGTTGGATCTATAAAAATTGAAAAAAAGAAGATAAAACCAGTAGAAGAGCAACATCAAAAAATTCTTATCAATAAGATTCATCTTACCAAAAACAGTTGACTTTTTATGTTTCTATAAATGAAAGGATATATTCATATTGGTCACATTTTCGTATTTAATTAAACAACATACTTTGAAATATGTGTATACAGTGTAATGATAATGTTCATGCAACTATAGGTGTTTGTACGTTAATTAACGTATAATTATGTACCTGGAAGTCAACAGCAAAGACAGTTGCTCCTCTTGTTTTGTTGAGGACATACTTGAGAATAAATGAATCTAGATCATGGACGCTTACAACATTATCTAAAAAGTTATATTACAATGTTCTAATTGGTCTAAGGCGTAAAAAAAAAATACCTGTGGTTCCGGTTCCTGACCGACCCTATTTTTTTCTGCCGACCCTATTATTTTTTCAACGTAATTGACCGTGCGCCCCTATTTTCTCCAGGTGGTTGCGGGCTGCTCATACAGCATGCCAAAATGGCATCTGTTGTCACACTAATTATTGAACCAAATTGCCTAAATTCGTCGATAGGAAATACGCATCTCTAGTTAACATTGATGTCGGGACCCTACTGCAAATCGCCCAGCAAAAATCCGCCAAAACCATGAAAAAAATATTCAAAAAAAAAATTATTTCCGACCTACCGACCCTAATTTTTTCACGATATGAAACCGGAACCACAGGTTGTTTTTTTACGCCTAATTATGCATCAAAATACACAACAAAAACCTGGCAGAGGCAGCCAGACAGATAATTATGATAATTTTCATACCTGATAAACTTATTAATAAATTAAATTCAGGCACAACTGTCATCTACATATAAGAAAGAATATAACATTTGGACTAAGTATTTGTGATAATTATAATAATTACAATACACATAATAATACTGTAGGCAGCTCACAAGAGCATGACATTAATCAAATGCTACTTGATACATACTGTACTGTACGATTATACAATCGTACACATGTTGCTACAAAATTAGAGCAATTAATTCACAAGCCAAAAATCATACTTGGACAATAGGCTTTTTGGAGAAAAGTTTGTTGGATCTTTTAAGTTGCACCTCAAATCGCTGATCACCTGAAAAATAATATGAAAAATCTAAACTTCTAAGCTAGTGATTTAAAGCATGCACTGAGCTTTAACCAGCTATTGAGCACCATGCGGTGCTCTCCCAGTGCCGGATTAAAGCCGGTCACAGACGAGCAAGTTTTCTATGACAAGTTTTTATGTGACAAGTTTTATTTGCCAAGTGCACATGCATGTGTATATGCAACAAATTTTATATGACAACAGATCTGCCAACCCTTGAGTAGCAGAAATAGTGAGTTGCTATCTAAAAAGTCGTGAGATTGACTGAAAAATCATGAGACTTTTTCAGGTTTGCTCATTAATATGACCAGGGTTAACTTTTATAACAACACTAGAAAATAATCAATAGATATTCAATTTTATGATAGTATGCATTTATATTTTGTTAATATAACCGTAAATGCAAGGCTTATTAAAAACAGGCTGTTTTTCCTTTATGGCTTTAGTAGTTTCCACTGTACAAGAAAACTACGATTAATATTAGGACTAACAGGACAATAAACTTAGCAGGACACGCCAGCTTTTACTTTGTAAAACAAACATCACGCATACAGAATTTTGGCGTTGTACATTGTGCATTCAGAGGCGCACTATTAATACACTAATGCAGTGTGACGTTTCCTTGGAAGAGTGTGCCTTATTGTAACTAAATGGTGCGCTCTTCGATGATTTCATAAGTTCCGAAAATCGTGAGATTCGGGGACATAATCGTGAGATCGTGAGAAAGCATTAAAAATCGTGAGTCTCACGATTAAATCGTGAGACTTGGCAGGTCTGTGACAAGTTTTCATACGACAAGTTTTCATACGACAAGTCTTATTTACTGGTGTGAACGTGTCAACAAGTTTACTTTGACAATTTATTAGTGGCCAGCTGGCCAATCACAACAAATGCTCAGATTATTTTGATAAGTTTTCTTTGTTGACCCATACAGACGAACAAAATTTGTACTTCGACAATTTTTTCTATGACAAGTGCACTTGTTCAAAAGCTAGCACGCTAGCTGTTGAACAAGTGCACTTGTCATAGAAAAAAATGTCAAAGTTGCGCGTACAGACGAGCAAATAAAACTTGTCACATAAAAACTTGTCATAGAAAACTTGCTCGTCTGTAACCGGCTTAACCATGTGGCAGAAGTGGAATATCCCACAGGCCCCGCACTTTTGGGGGCCCTGTGCTTATCTTTTTGAATTTTTTGTTCCCTGCGTAACATTGACTTGTCATCGCTAATTAACAATTTTCCTCTTCAAAAATCACATAAACATAACATATACAAAGCATCTGCATCGAATGAGACTCCAACGGCAAATGCGGTAGATGTTCATGCAATCTGAATGTGTATGGATGTTGTTCATGTTGTTTGGCTAGTTTGACTTTTAATCTTAAATGTGAATAATATATTTTTTTTATATAATGTTCATGTTAATGCTATAAACTGTGTTGAATTTTAGTTCAAATCGTTGGGGAGGGGTTCAAGGGGCCCTGTGCTAATAATGTGCCACAGGCCAAGTGAAACAGTCATCCAGCGCCACGTGAACTTGTAGATTTGAATTTATAAACTTCAAAGTCCAGGAGATGGTTTACTTTAAGTGAGCATGTTCTGGGCTGCTAAGTTTGCCAAGCCTGGCAAAGATCTTGTGCATGCAATTTTGTCATCCTAGGAACATACGTTTATCGGAGCGAAGAAAAAAGCAAACTTAGGGCCTGTTCATATGATCCCGCTTACCGGGACGTCCCACTTACCGATGATCTCGCCACCTAGTTATTTTCCTACAATATTTTGCATTGTGTTCATATGAGAAAGCGAGCTGGCCCGCTTGCCGAGATCTCGCTTGAATTTCCCGAGATCAAAAGTATAAGCGGGATGAAAAATTTTCCAGATGAACACGCCCGCCGCTTACCGGGATGAAGTCAAACAAGTCTTAATTTAACACTTTTTACTTAGTTTTATGTTTGTTTTGTAAACAAGTATTAATTATGCAGCAAAAGCAATACTTTTTCTTCTAAATAAACAAAGAAAAACGCTAAAATCGCTAAATATTTGTGTTGCTTGACTGAAATGCAGAAGTTTTGCATACGCTAATTATAGAACTACATTGTAATTTCATCTCGGCAAGTGGGACGAAATACTCCATATGAACGCACGGAAATATTCGTCCCGCTAGGCAAGACATCTCGGTGAGTGGGATCATATGAACAGCCCCTAAGCAGTCTGGACCATGCATGTTTTAACAAGTCATGCACAAGCCACATACTGACCTGTACCATCTTTGATACTATACACCAACAAATGACCAGGCCTAGTACCAACTAGTAGGTGATTATCTATAATGTAGCAATTAAATTCGACACTGCACTTTCTGATTTATGTAAACTCGTTAAAGTGAAAATAAATAAGACTAAATTCAAGATAGTTTAGAGCTAATAAAATTATACCCCTTACCATAACTAGCTATTGATTCAATTACTAAGGGTAATCTTTCCAGTATGGAAGCATATTCGAAGGCATCGTGCATCGTTGGAAATCATTGCACTTTCATCCAATTTTTTTATGATTTTATTTCATTTTTTTTCGATTTTAATTTCTAATTTTTTTTCGACTTCCTACTTGGAAATCGAGAACCATTGCTAGAGCCCGCGACACTGCAAGACCAAGCCCCCGGCATACTTCATGTATGAACAGTATGATGCTGGTGATACTTTGACTGATCTATTAAATTATGGGAATGGTGAAATGTGGATTTGTAAAGCGCAGAAGAAATGCTGGTTACACTATCAAAGCTTCTGTGATCACATCATCACAGTAGGAATTTTCCATAGGTAAATTCTAAGTTTTGAAAAATTTGTAAGAAATGAACCGACTCGGTGTTTGAGACTGAGTCAGTTCCTTCATTCTTCAAACATTTCTTACAAATCCTTTGGAACTTAATTAAAATTTACCTATGCAAAATTCTTACTGTGATCACAAGAACTTTGGTAGTGTAAACTAGGCTTAACCAATGATTATTTTAACCTCGCAAAACCCAGGGTCTAGGACATTCAGAGATTGCGAGATCGATGATTTTTCACAATAACACTAAGGTGCACAGGTGACAGGTTAAATTTACTGTTATAAATAGAAAAACAGCTTTCCCAAGTGTTTTTGGTGTTATTGTTATTGTTATTATTATTGTCGTTACTGTTGTTGTTATTGTTGTTACCTCCCCCACATGTGTGTCTGTCTGTCAGCATGATCAACTTTAAAAAACGTATTACTGAGTACGACAATTTGTAGGACTAATGGACTGTATCCAAGGACGAATTGTTTAAAGGTGATCTACAGTCCGTATGTAAACAAAGCCTTTGTTTACATTTTTGTGTCCAAAATATTGAGCTTTATTCGACAACTATTTATATTTTCAAGCTTCTAGAGTATAATAAATGATCAAGAAACAACAATCAGGCTTTTCAAGAACTCAAAACATAGTTAAACTGTTTGTATCATAAAAAGTGGGCTCATTTGTGCACATGCGCAGATCGGACTGTAGATCACCTTCGGTTCGATTTAATGTAGATGAAAATTGGAGTAACAATTTAGCAAACGTTTGTCTCGCTTTGCCAGGCAGAGTGACGGAATAGAATGCGTAATTAGGCCATCGTATAATTTATGCACGAGACGTAACTTGATTCACTAGCAGTCTTCGAATGACCTCCAACTGATATTATTGTGGTTTTGTTGTTGTTTTTGTAGTTGTTGTTGATGCGATATCTTAAACAGGAGACTATATGAAAATATGCATGTATTAACCTTATAGATATAAACTACAATAACTAACATTCAAACGGACTATACGGTACCAGGATAAGACAATTACAAAGAGTGGAAAATTCTACGGTGACTACGTTTTACTTATGTTTCAGACTGTTTTTATGTTAGTCTACGTTACACATAGTCTAGAAATGTATAGAAGGTAGCTTGATATGTTTCTTGAGATGAAAATAATCGTCCTTATTCTTAACCCCAACATCGCAATTTTCCCAGTGTGTGGTATCCTCTCTCAGTACCATGACCGGTATCTCCAAATCTCAGTTGAGTAACAGGCAGTGTGCTCTTGTCTGTCAGATATCCACTGTCTTCACGCCATTTTCCATCATTCCTGTCACAATTACATTTTCCTCCACCTGCACAGGTGTTGGTCATTCCACATGCACATTTTTCACTGCTGACTGCCGCTCCTCCCCAGTAATCCATCGGTGAACCTTGACGTGATACCCACCAACTGTCAGGACTAGGGAACCAGAAACCGCTACCATAACATTCATATTTTATTAACTGCTCACAATTCGTGGACCGTTCTACGATTGCATCAATCTGTTCCATAGGCAAATCGTACTTGATGCTTCGTTTGTAACTCCCTTGACTTTCATACCCCTTCACAAGTGTTCTTGATTCGCTGTCATGCCCAATCACCGTCACACCAACACCATTCTTTGACGTCATGTCACAGTAAACGGCAACCGATTTAGCAGCCGATGTAAACGATCGTCTTTGAAGGTTGATGTTGTAGATTCCACTTGACAGACTAGCGTTTCGTTGTCGCAATTCGGTACACCAACCGGGTGCGTCAAGTTGCTCCATGAAGCTCTTAAATTCTGCAATGGTAAATAAATGCTGTGTTAATTACTTGTGTTCATTAAAGTTAATGATATTGGACAAATGGTATTTTTGTAAAAACCTTCATATCCCTCTACATGCATGTGTGTATAATTGGCTGTCACCATTTTTATAGCTCATATCACAAAATACTGGTTAGGTTAAGTGCTTGGGGCTTCACATTATAAAATAAATGCACTAGGGGATGAAGGCACTTTTGTCATCGTGAAATCTCACAAGACGGTTCAATCGGATGGAAATAGTTAACACAATCAAAGTATATACCTGTAAAAAATAACGGCCTTTGTTTTAAGTACAAATCTCCTTTCCATTTTAAGGCAAAATCTTCACGCTAACTTTAACATTAAACTGAGGTAACTACACTATGAAAAACCCAAGCTTTGTCCTATAGCAGGATTAAATTTGCACAATCACTTAACTGGTCTGCTGTTATGCCCAATGAGCTATCGCGCTATTGACGACGGATTCATTAGCCAAATTAAAAGTACAGGAATATATTCGTGATGACTTTAACACTGTTTGGAAAAAAGCTACTTCGAATGGAGACTATCTAGAGATTTGATTGATTACTCTACCTTCATATTCCTTTTCTATCTTCTCTATTGTCTTTTCTTGTGTTTTCACTTTTTGTTGTAGTTGTTGAACCTTGAAATAGATTCGATCGTTAGGGACAGGCCGCCATTATTTTTGGTGGGGAAGGGGTGTGGGGTGAAATGTTTCTCTTGGTAAACATTTTGCTGATCATCCAATCAGTGTCTCCGAAGGAAATACATGTGCAGACAACATGAAACTTTAGACTACAGAAAATTGCACAAGCAGTTATCAAACTCATGTCACATATCACAGAAGTGGTAAAGGACATGTGTAACAACTAAATGGTATCCTTTTGTAAAGGTTTTGGTCAGGCTTGGGTACGTACTTACTGTTTTTAATTTATATCTGAGGTTGGGTAAAAAAATGTTTTGATTTTTTACCATTTGCCTCCTGATTGATTTATATATTGTACTCACTATATATTGACATATAACTGATGAGATTGCCGATTAATTCAATGTTTGAGTAAGTCATGCTTTGGAAATGACAATAAATTTTTATTACCTAACCCTTGAGTTGTTTTGTTTTGTTTTCATTTACCCAACCTTTAAGTTTACTCACTCAAAAGTTTGTTTACCCACCATTTTCTCTTCGGTGCTACACCCCCCCCCCTAATCCACATTTAGGATCAAACCTCCTGTTCTTTCCCCAATGCTTGCCACTTTGATCCTTGATTGACGTAAAGTTGTTTATTATCTTTACGATATGAGAGAAGACCAGGAACATCTGGAATCTTGTCAAGACTTTTCTTGTCAGATACTGTCAATGTCTAAAAAAAGAAAATTCTTGCTAACTTACATACCAAGCTGTATTACTTGCATTTCCTTGAAAAAATGAGCCGAATCTATTTTATACAGGAAAGCCAAAGTTTGTCCCTTCTGTGGATAAAAGAACAACAGGAGTAAAATAAACAGCGAGTGCCACAATATATGTTCAATGCGAAGCAAGTTGTGCGATTTTCAGCCATACAGCAGGCGCAACATTGATAAACGCCCGTGGAATTAATTAGACTTGTGACTTGTCTCGTACTGCAAGGAGTAAAATGCGTGAGCTAATAAAACGAACGGGCCCTCAAAATCCGCACTTTAAGAAATTTGAGCTCAATCTCGCAGCTAAATAATATAAGTTGACTGTTGACATTTGCAGCAAGTCTATAGGAATTTTTGTTATCAGTTCTTTTATGTTCAATAATATTTCAACAGCACTTTATTAACCTAAGCTTCTGTGTGCTTCTACAAAATCTTCATACTTACGCCTTCGTTTAAGAATGTCTTAAAAGTTTCTGAACAGGAACCCTGAAAGAAAACTCAAGATTTAGATTTCGTCTGTGATTGTTGTTGTTTACATATCATCATCATTGTTGTTTCTTTCTTGCTGTCTGTTTGTTTGTTGTGTGTTGTTTGTTGTCTGTTTATTTACTTGCTGCTTTATCTCTTGCTAGTTGTTGTTGCTTGTAATTCCTTGACCTTGTTGCTGTTGTTGCTGTTGTTGCTGCTGTTGTCGTTGTCGTTGTCGTTGTCGTTGTTGTTGTTTCTTATCAATACTCTAACCTTATGTGCAGTGCCAGTTCGTGGGTCAATGAAATATTTTTCAAGTTTGCCATCGGAATTTTTCATCGTGAACTGCATACATCTTTTCCACAGTCGTCCAGAATAAAAATCGTTTCCATACCCATCAATCTAACAAAAATGGTATTTTTATAAATATTGGTTATTGTTACCGGCCAAATGAAACTACTTCTATAACTCAAAGTATATTGTTATGGAATAATATTATATAAATTATAAATAATACAGTTTTAAAGATAAAAAATCAGACAGCTAAATTGATATGTCAATCTTTTAACGGCGTTTAATTTAAGAGAACTTTGCTTCATTGACGTTAGAAGAGGGCACTTATGTGCTAAAGGGTGGTGCCACTGAATGTACTAATCCGGCCTTAGCCAATCTACAAATCACGCCATTTTTATTGGCTCAAATTTGATAAGATAGTTAGATATGTTTTAATTTTGGCCAATGGATTTTGATTGTTTTCGACTAGTGTAAGTTCCACGGTCCCTGTATATGTTGTTCAATATACACATTACCCCCCCCCCACCACCACCACCGCCTCAATGGATTTATTGACACGTTTCAATGTTTAATAGCAGCGTCAGGCTACATTAACCTACTAATTCAAGGGTTACACTTGACAGTACGATAAAACTACTGATAACTTCGTGGCCCTCAAATTCCTAAATATACATATTATACTACAAAATTATACTATCTAATATTACATCTCTATACATGTATTAACCCAATATTAAATGGGTTTACACGGTTTGCATCATGCCTATATTCTGTGCGCGTTACGTCAATTATGTTAAACGGCTTAAATGCTGGGAATGAGTTGCGCAGAGATTTTGTCAACTCGCACTTCTTGAAATATTGCGTTTTCGTATGCAGCAAATACAGCAAATGCAGCAAATACGCTATCACTATCAGAGGCTGGTAGTTTACTACAACGAAACTGTAAAATACTGAAGTATTTTAGTGCTACAACAAGCGTTATAAAGGATTGAATCGCTTTTTCAAGCAACGGTTAGACAATAATCAACAGTTTCTTTTGCAAGTTCAAATTTTACATGAAATATAGTTAGCCTTCGTGTGCACAAATGATCGATTAAAACTAAAACTAACCTTGTTTCTTTGTGGTAAACCAGAAGTTATTGTACTCAAACAAGCTGAAAAGATCAGAATTTTCCACAGAAAGTTTGAAGACATGATTGTTCCCAGCACGTTTGACCTGCTTCCTTCAGTGTCTTCAACCGTAATGATGGAATGAGCCTAAGTTTCTAACTTTATAAGCTCATTTATCACATGCTGATTACACTAAAGATATGTGGCGCCAAACTGATTCGATCACGTACGTTTGTCATCACTCTTTTTCCGCATTACAATCACATTACACTGAAAAAAACACATAGAATAGGAAGAAATAGACAATAGGACTGACCATCCCATATTAAGTCCATTCATTCACTAAGGAATAATAATAATTGAAGCCAAGTTAAACAAGTGTTTTGCGTCTCCGCCCGCTCCCGTTTTTCTTTTTCTCTTACTTGTTTTCCAGTCCAAATGACAAACTATTTATTTTGATACTTGAATTAGTTCGCATTATTTAAGAGACAAAAACAGCGACTGCGAGCTGGCTTTGCATCTTCACTGGTCCTTGACGAGTATGTGCCCTTTATGGATTATAAAATGTACTCTATTTTAGATAAAGATCGCTAGTTATTACGAAGCGTAAGTCGGTCGTAAAAGCTAAACTGCAAAGACACGGCCCAAGATGGTCAGAAATTTTTAATTTAACGTGCGCTCCCCATTTATTTTTGTGTTTTTCATTACTGTTTGTCCGGAAATACGGGTTCGTTAAGGACAAATTTTAGGAAGAAATTCGACGCTCAGCGTGCAGGAAATGGCACTCCTAGGCTCAAAATTTTGAGATGCTTATGGTTAGAGCAGCATTCCACACAAAATGTCAACATGTTTTCGGTTTTCGATATTGAAGTTAATTCGGACATTGAACATGTATATTTTTGGGAGGAGGGAGGGTCTATAGTATGTTTTAACTTTTCAGTAATGACAAAAGAAATCGTAAGCATATGGTTATTGTCAAGAGACAATTTTCTTGTCGTCCGTCATTAGCTCTGTTCTCTTAGAAAGACAATACAAGAAAAGTAACTCGATACTGCGAAGATTTTCACTCGACCTTGGAACTATGAGAGATCACATCTTTCTGCTCCCTAATCTTGTGTAATTAAGAGGCAATTTTCCCAGCGAAAATTTGCGAGTTAGTTTTCGTGATAAGTGGAAAAGAGCCTTATCCTAACTCCTTGATAAATCTGTTTACCAGTGTGCTTCAGTTCTTTCAAATGTGCTGTCCGAGGAAAACTGAATACCAAAGTCCAATATTTCGATATCACCAAGTTTGCTTGACCAATGTGGGGGATCTCGAGGGTTCATTACTGTCCATGATTCAGGATTATTCTTCATTCCAACCAATAAACTCCCCCCTCCCCCACCATCTGTATGCACATCACACCAGAGCTGTGCAGTGTAACTCATACTTACGCTGTGTCTCTAATTATTGATAAATATTATAGTAATACCTTTAGTTTTGATGTCCCATGAAATCCAAAAAATCCAGACAAATGATCAACAATATCTGGACAATCTCTGGCTGGGTCGAATATTTCACCCAATGTCGGAGAACCTGTGTTTAGAAAGTACAATAGTTGGTTCTAGCGTATTTTTGTTCTATCCCTTCCTTTGCTAAAATTTCCTTTCTTTTGATGAGTCAGCGAGGTTAGATAATTGCCCTGCCGTTATGTCAATGACTGGCTAACTTGCTTTATAGTATTTCCTCACCTGAGAATGTTGCACCATTTCTTAAATACTGAAGTTAACTCTCAACACCAAAATATATCCATTTCACTCATGAGCTCATAGATATTTTCATGAGCTCAATCAGTCTAATACCTTTCTCTCTAGCTATTGGGGTCAGAAGGGTCATCCCTTCTTGGTCCAGTATTATGCTAAATTTATGCTAGATCAGTTCTAAACAGCTTTTCCTCCTGTGTTATCACAGGAGAAACCTAAATTAACCGTATTTATACTGGATAGAATGCGATTGCCTATTATTTAAATTATTATTAGATTAGCACTACAGTAATTATGTTTTGTTAATGAAGTATAATATGTCTAGGATTTATGCTAATCAAGTGAATTTAAATCCCAACGTAGTTGAGCATGCCCCACAAACAACTTTCTTTAACGTTAATCCAACGAATTTTGACGGTTTGCTATTGAATTGGATTAGACGAGCGAGTTATAGAATCCAATGGAGCAATTCCCAAATAACCAAAATTTTGAACTCAACAAGTCTAGACAAAAATTTCATCACAACTTGAAAGAGCATCACAAAATTAGTAATATTCCAAAGTTTCGTTTTAAAATGTTGTAAAATGCGGATAATATAGCCTTGCGACGTTTGCAATTTTCAGTCATTTTAGATTACAAACGGGAAATGGTTACCACTTCCGTGCGTATTACAAAATGACTGAAAATTACAAACTTCGCAAGGCTATATTATCCACATTTTACAACATTTCGCAATGAAACTTTGGAATATTACTAATTTTGGGATGCTCTTTCACGCTGTGATGAAATTTTGTCTAGACTTGTTGAGTTCAAAATTTTGGTTAATTGGGGATTGGTCCATTAAAATAGTTTTTATACGCAGAAGCAAAACGCGGCTTGTGAGTAATGTGAGACGTAGCAACCGTACTACTTATTAGCTACGGAGCGTCGCAAACCATGATTGAGAAACTGTAGCCTCCTCCGCAGGCAACTGCGTAGTTCTGCAACGTTATTAACTATAAAGGAACGTAGAAAATACAAGGAAATAGTTCTCAAATACGATATATTAATAAACAAGAAGCGCAAATTAAAAAGGCCTGGAGCTGAAAAAATAGGGAGGATAATGTGGAACATATGTGGACAATACGAGCTGCCTTCAACAGACAAACGCACTATGCTCAATGTCGATAAAATCACAATCATATCGTATTTCAGAACTATTTCCTTGTATTTTCTACGTTCTTGATAAATCTTTTATAGTTAATAACGTTGTAGAACTACATAGTTGCCTGCGGAGGAAGCTAGCCAAACTGTATGCATGTCAATCATGGTTGAGTTTTGACTTTGAAAAGGACACCCTTAATTGAATTAGTCGTATAGTTCGAAACTATTCTCTCTAGTATAGAGGTCCAGTCATGCAGGACCATTCTGTATCAGTCTAATGTTACTACAGAGTACAGACCATTAATTCACAACTACTGAATATCAGTACAGAGGTCATTAACACTGTCCTTACCATCGATATATTGCCATTGAGTGACTCCGTTTTTTTCTCCTATACACAAATCAAGTTCTTGACGCGCCCAGCTAGGTTTTCGTGACTTTCCTGGATTACATTTAGTGAAATTCTGAAGTAAAAAGTGAATTTATCAATTTGTAATGAACAATTTCTTGTGCAAGTTCAAACTTCGCGAGTTTTAGATGGAATAGTCAGCCTTCGTGCACTTTGGTGGGCGCATAAAACTTAAAACTAGAAATTTAAGGCTTAACTCAACACATGCACACACCAAATATAATAAAACTGAGTTGACTAACCTTATTGCTTTGCGATAAACCAGAAGTTATTGTAGACAAACAGACTGAAAGAATCAGAATTTTCCACAGAACGTTTGAAGACATGGCCTTTTTTTCTAAGTTTGTTTCCAGCACGTTCGACCTGCTTTCTTCAGTGTCCTGAACCGTACTGGCGAAATGAGCTCTCTATAATTTAAGCTCATTCATTTCCAAATGACAACTTGTCAAGAAACAAAAGACTATTCAAATTTCTCAGCAAGGGGAAGGACATCAGCGAGCTTCTTCCTTCAACAAAGAATATCTATAGTTAGCAAACATGTCCATCTCATATGAGTCTATCAAACACTCAACAAAACAGATGAGCATCCGATCTTTATCTGATATACAAACTCTCGCCTTCGGCTCGAGTTTTTATATCAGATAAAGTTCGGCTGCTCATGTTTTATCTAGTACTTAAACAGGAGACTATATAAAAACATCCATGTATTAACCTTATAGATATGAACTACAATAACCAACATTCAAACGGACTATACGGTACCAGGAAGACATACAAAGATCGAGTGATAAATTCTACGGTAACTACCAGGGCCGTAGCTACTGTAGCATGTATAGTTGGAGGGGTGTCAGGCAAAAAATTTCCAAATGACGAAAATAATTCCCGAATCTTTTATGGCATACGAAGCCACGAAGGCAGTGCCGTAAGAAGCTCTTTTCGATTGGGGAGGGGGCTGAAAACGAGGGCCGAAGGCCTGAGGAAATTTTTAACTAATTTAGAGTATCTGAAATGCCCGGCATTTCCTGGACTTTGACAGAATTCTCTGATGGTCAGAAAACAGCGTTTAGTATGTCGAAATTTACAATTTATACCGACAATACAATTCTATAATATTTTCTCTGTTTAACAACTAAAATTTTGTTATACTATTATTGTCGTAATTTTCCGAATGGCCAACCCGATTTTCCGAATATATTAATTCTAAAAAAGTTGGGGAGCTAACCCCCCCCCCAGCTACGGCCCTGGTAACTACGTTTTACTTATAGTTTCAGACTGGTTTTTTTATGTTAGTCTACGTTACATATAGTCTAGAAATGCATATAAAGTAGCTTGATATGTTTCTTGAGATGAAAATAATCGTCCCTATTCTTAACCCCAACATCGCAATTTCCCCAGTGTGTGGTATCCTTCCTCTCTATCGTCACCGGTATCTCCAAATCTCAGCTCAGTGACAGGCAGTGTGATCTTGTCAGTGAGGTATCCACTGTCTTCACGCCATGTGTCATCATTCTTGTCACAATTACAGTCTCTTCTACCTGGTGGACCTGTACAGCTGTCGGTCATTCCACATGCACATTTTCCACTGCCGACTGCCGCTCCACCCCAGTAATTCATCGGTGAACCTTGACGTGATACCCACCAACTGTCAGGTCCATGATTAAACCAGAAAACACTACGATAACATTGATATTTTATAAACTGCTCACAATTCGTAGACCGTTCTACGATTGCATCAATCTGTTCCATAGGCAAATCGTATTTGATGCTTCGTTTGTAACTCCCTCTACCTTCATACCCCTTCACAAGTGTTCTTGATTCGCTGTCATGTCCAATCACCGTCACACCAACACCATTCTTTGACGTCATGTCACAGTAAACGGCAACCGATTTAGCAGCCGATGTATTAAACGATCGACTTTTAGGGCTGATGTTGTAGATTCCACTTGACAGACTAGTGTTTCGTCGTGGCAAATCGGTACAACAACCGGGTGCATCAAGTTGCTCCATGAAGCTCTTAAATTCTGCAATGGTAAATAAATGCTGTGTTAATTACTTGTGTAAAAAATATTCATATGCCTTTACATGTGCGTATAATTAGCTGTCACCATTTTTATAGCTCATGTCACAAAATTCTGGTTAGGTTAAGTGCTTGGAGCTTTATAAAATAAAATGCACTACAGGGGCTGAGGGCACGTTTGTCGTCGACAAATCTTACAAAACTGTTCAATTGCATGAAAATTGTTAACACAATTCGAAGTATATACCTGTAAAAAATAACAGTCTTTGTTTAAAGTGCAAATCCCCTTTCCAGTTTAAGCAAAATCTTCACGCTAACTTTAACATGAAAGGTAGTTAACTACAGTATGAAAACCCCCAGTTTTGTCCTAGCAGGACTATGGCCTTTGCACAATCACTTATAACTCTGCTGTTATGCCCAACTATGAGCTATAGCGGCATTGACGACGGGTTTTAGCCAAATTAAAAGTACAGGAATATATTAAACATAAAAAGCTATACTTCGAATGGAGACTATTTAGAGATTCCATTGTCATTGATTACTCTACCTTCATGTTCCTTTTCCATCTTCTCTATCATCGTTTCTTGAGTCTGGATTGTCTTTCCTTGTGTTTTCACTTTTTGTTGTAGTTGTTGAACCTTGAGATAGATTCTATCGTTAGGGGAAGGCCATTGTTTATGGTGGGGAAGGGGAGTGGCAACGAAGAGAGATGTTTCTCTGATCTAACCAATACAAAAAGTAAAAAATAATTCTTTGCCCAACCTCAATGAATATGAATTAAAAAATAAATACTCAACCCTGGCCAAAAACGTACGATAGGATACCACTGATTTAGTTGTCACACATGTCCTTTACCACTTCTGTGATATATAGCATGAGTTTGATAACTGCTTGTGCAACTTTCTCAAGTCTAAAGTTTCATGTCGTCTGCACATGTGTTTCCTTTGGGGACACATACGACTGATGACATTGCTTATTGAAATAAGCTTTGGAAATGAAAATACATTTTTATTACCTAACCCTTGAGTTGTTTTGTTTTCATTTACTCAACCTTTAAGTTTACTCACTCAAAAGTTTGTTTACCCACCATTTTCTCTTCGGTGCTAGCCCGCCATATACAAACCTCCTGTTCTTTTCCCAATGCTTGCCACTTTGATCCTTGATTGACGTAAAGTTGTTTATTATCTTTACGATATGAGAGAAGACCAGGAACATCTGGAATCTTGTCAAGACTTTTCTTGTCAGATACTGTCAATGTCTAAAGAAAGAAAATTCTTGCTAACTTACATACCAAGCTGTATCACTTGCATTTCCTTGAAAAAATGAGCCGAACCTATTTTGTACAGGAAAGCTAAAGTTTATCCCTTCTGTCGATAAAAGAACGACAGGAGTAAAACACTTTAGAATTATTAAGATTTTTATAAACAGCGAGTGCCACAAGCACATCATATGTTCAATGCGAAGCGAATTGCGTGATTTTTCAGCCATAGAGCAGGCGCAACATTGATCGACGCCCGTGGAATTTTTTAGACTTGCTACAAGTTGACTCGCACCGTAACGCATTGCAACTCGTCTCGTACTGAGTAAAATGCTTGAGCTAAATAAAACGAACGGGGCCCCCATTGCCAAAATCCGCACTTTAAGAAATTTGAGCTCAATCTCGCAGCTAAATAATATAAGTTGACATTTGCAGCAAGTCTAGGAATTTATGTTATCAGTTCTTTTATATTCAATAATATTTCAACAGCACTTTATTAACCTATAAGCTTCTGTGTGCTTCTACAAAATCTTCATACTTACGCCTTCGTTTAAAAATGTCTTAAATGTTTCTGAACAGGAACCCTGAAAGAAAACTCAAGATTTAGATTTCGTCTGTGATTGTTGTTGTTGTTTGCATATCATCGTTGTTTCTTTCTTGTCTGTGTGTTGCTTGTTGTCTGTTTATTTTTATTTACTTGTTGCTTTGTCTCCAGCTAGTTGTTGTTGTTTCTTGTAATTCCTTGCTGTTGTTGTTGTTTGAAATTTGTTGTTGTTGTTGTTGTTGTTGTTTGAAATTTGTTGTTGTTGTTGCTGTTGTTGTTGTTGTTGTTTGAAATTTGTTGTTGTTGTTGTTGTTGTTGTTGTTGTTGTTGTTGTTGTTGTTGTTGTTGTTGTTTGAAATTTGTTGTTGTTGTTGTTGTTGTTGTTGTTGTTGTTGTTTCTTATCAATGCCCTAACCTTATGTGCAGTGCCAGTTCGTGGGTCAATGAAATATTTTTCAAGTTTGCCACTGGAATTTTTCATCGTGAACTGCATACATCTTTTCCACAGTCGTCCAGTCTAACAAAAAAGGTATTTCTTTGAATATTGGTTATTGTTACCCAAACGAAACGACATCTATTACTCAAAGTATATTGTTATGAAATAATAATACTATATAAATAATGTAGTTTTAAAGATAAAAAATCAGACAGCTAAATTGATATGTCAATCTTCTAACGGCGTTTTAGAGAACTTTGCTGCATTGACGTTACAATGAAGAGGGCACTTATGCGCTAAAGGGTGGTACCACTGAATGTGCTAATCCGCCCCTAGCCACTCTACAAATCACGCAAATTTGATTGCCTCAAAGTTCCACGGTTATCGGTTCAATATACACAATACCCCCCACCGTCTCAATGGATTTATTGACACGTTTCAATGCTCAATAGCAGGGTCAGGCTAAATTTAACCTGAGATCAGGCTCTATTTTACAATAGCCTGACACAATCCTTAATCCGATCGCTTTCCACCCACAGCAAAGTTTATATTTAGTATCCAATCAAAATGTCGCAGGAGAAATGTGTAAATTTCACCCAACGACAACAACAATCTAATTATAGTCGTGATCGCAGGTTAGGCTAAATTATAAAAGGTTACACTTGACAGTAAGATAAAACCACTGATAACTTCGTGGCCCCCAAATTCCTAAATATGCATACCACAAAATTACTATCGAATATTACATCTATATTAACCAATATTACATGGGTTTACAGGGTTTGTATCATGCCTATTTGTGCGCGTAAATTATGTTAAATGCTGGGAATGAGTTGCGCAGAAATTTTGCGTTTTAGTAAATGCAGCAAATCCGCTATCAGAGGTAGTTTACAAGGATTGAATCGCTTTTTCAAGCACCGGTTAGGCAGTATAATGAACAGTTTCTTTTGCAAGTTCAAATTTTAGATTAAATAGTTAGCCTTCATGTGCACAAATGACCGATTAAAAAAAAACTAACCTTGTTTCTTTGACTTTGTGGTAAACCAGAAGCTAGTGTGCTCAAACAAGCTG